ATACACATCGACTCCGGAGAAAGTATTCCACTTTTTTTACTTCAAATTACAAGAGAGAAGTACTCTAAAACTAAGACAAACGGATTAGTTCTTTACTAAATGTTGTTCCTTCCTATAGAAGATTCCAAAATATGCAGTTTGCGATTTTTGAAATCTACCCCCGGAGTAGAAATTGCACTTTTCACCCCATTGTACAAGAGAGAAGTACTCGAAAAATAAACCAACCAGCGTAATTCATTAAGAAACCGCATTCTCTGATTTATGAGCTCGCAAAATACGCAGTTTGCGAGTTTCGAGCTCTATGTGGTAAAAGTACATTTTTTACCTCAAATATATAGTACGTAAACTGTCGTTTTAATATATGAAAAGAGGAATTATTATTTGCACAGCTCTCAATAGTTCGATAAAGTTTTAGTATCATTTTACAATAAAAAGCACAGTTTTATAGTGTTGTTTAAATAAGTTTAGAATATGGTTATAATAATTGTTTGTAAAAATGTATATAATAATTCTGTAAATATATATACAATAGTAATACTAATGTAAAATTAATATATTAATATTACATAATATTTAAAAAATTGACTAGTTGTCGTAAAAATAGAGTAGTAATATGTGTTAAGATAGTGAGCTTTGAAAATATAATCTACAAGATTGCTGCTGTTCAGCAGTAAAATCGTATAGAGAACAAATTAGTTTATTGATTGATTTATTTAGTTGTTTATTTTTTTTTAGGTTTATTTATTTATGTGTACAGTTATGTAACAATTATGTGCATTAAATCTGGAATACAAAAATACTATTGTTCTAAAGAAGACAAAGACCGCTTAGTTTTAAAAATCAAATTACGTAATGAATCATAGAGCAAATGAAACATTCACGTATGAGTTGCTACATTTAGTGAACTTACGATTATTATAAGTAATGAAACAAAGAACATCATACTTTTAAAAAAACTTGAAATATGAAAAATTATAACATTAATATCTATCTATCTCCACCACTGTAGGTGAGTTAGACCACTGTATATAAAAAATAGATAGATCTTTACTTAAATACAAGTTACAATTTTTTAACAATTGTTTTAACAAACATATTATTATACTTAATTGTAGGTGTACTTTACGCTGTTTAACAAAAACGCACTGTTTTTTTAGTTGTACTTTACAATTTTCTTCTATTCATTTCTTCTTTTTAAATAACATCTTTCATTGTTCTTTGGTCCGCTTGCTTCTTTCCTATGCATATTTGCGGTTATTTTGTTGGCATACTGAAAACGTCAATAAAATTAGTAGTCCCCTCGATTATCTCCTATTCCTAGTGTCCATCCATCCCTAAAAATAGGATAAATGGACACTACAGTGCAAGTTTTTACACAAGAAAGTATTTGACAATTCTTACACAGAAAGTCTTTAACAATGTTTCAAATTGATAGAATATGTCCAAAAACTTAAGTAAATATGTATCTAATTAAACGTTTTACAAACAAAAATTGGTGAGCTAGAATTTTTCACACCTACCTTTGAAATAAAAGATACAAAATATTCATCTGGTATGCAAATGCGATTTACATAAATACTTTTCTGCTTGTAAGTACACATTTAACAATAACTTCAATAAATACACATCTAACAAATAGTTTAGGAAATGTGCGTGTGGTCCGTCTCATCCACATGGTCTATCTTCTTCCGACTTACTCTATATATTTGAATTTTAATACAAATAAATTTTTTATCTAAAGTTTTTTGAACTACATGTTAGAATAACAGAATTATCTACCTATAGCTTCGGTTTTCTTTATATTGAACATTTTGTACTATAAGTTTATATTTATAATTTATGTAGTAAAGTAAGCAATAAGAAACTACTTTTGTACGCAAAAAAGTTAAAGATATATTTATGTGTGACACAGGTCCAGACAAGGTCCTGAGGGATGTTTGGACACTATCCACGAAGGTTTGCGGTATGTAGTGTATTGTGAAGTAACCTGAGTATTTCGCAGAAAATTGCAAAATACGAAGAGTGACGACATTTGTCGATTCTTCATTCGTCTAAACGCATCCGTTCGATCTGGTGAACATCGCATTCATCTTCAGTCGAGAAAGAGACATTATATAAGAGACATATTTTTTAACATTGTTTTATGTCAGTCTCATGCATATAAATACGTGAATGCGTTGATGAGAGAATGAGAGATACTTATTAAGTAATAAATAAAGCAATGTTGAAGTACAAAGATATATATTTACCACGAGCAGGATCATGCGATAAACGTCTGTTACATGAAATTGGAGAGTTAAAGAGAATCGATATTACAAAAACGTTATAAATTGAATCTCTAGCATACGCAACAATTGGAAATTCCATGTTCGTGTTGATCGGCCTCAGAAGAAGATGGGACTGAAGCTTTGTCTGGAAGTACGCACGACAGGCAGCTTGTTAAGTGAACGCACGTCAGCGAAGAATAAGGAAATGGAAAGAAACGCAAAAATGTATAACTACGCAAAGTTTTAATATTATCCGATGTGACAAATTAACATGTCGTGACATAAAATTGTTATTGATGGGAGCGATATTGTAGACCAGTTTTTCCACCTATGATGTGTATCATGTGTTATAAGTTATAATCTTGCAATTTATACAAACAAAGATCGCGTGGATTAACAACAACACAGAACGCAAATAATCGGGGTAATGAGGTCATCGTTAGAATTACATCTTATTCGAATAATCTTCTATTTCACGCTTCAAATTGGCAATAATACAATCAAATTTTATTAATCCTGGCTGCGAGATAGTTTCGCATGTGTACATGCATATATTGAACATTTAAATGTCTCACATGTACGACTTTCTATCGGTGTGAGTTACGGATTTGTACAGAGAGAAAGAAAAAATGTCTTGCTGCACACACACATACACACGTTTCTAAAGTAATATTTATTACTTTATATAGCAAGAATCAAGAAAAAAAAAAGAACAAATAGGAGAAACTTTAATTTATGACTTGATACAATTATCACATATAGACGCAATAAAGATACACTTACTTTGTTTCTCTGTCGTAAGTTGAAAATGCCGTAGACGATGGGATTCATACTCGAATTGGTGCACGCGAAAAAGAAGAGAGCCCTCTGAATGCGCTCGTCGATTTCTCGAGCTGACGATGGATCGATCCAGTACCTGTTTGCATACGCAAATCGACAATTGTAATGCGACAGTTTAGTTTTGTGCGATTTAGTTGAACTCGGATACGCGGGCTAGTTTGTTTTTTTTTTGTATATCTCGAGTAGAAATTGGATCCGGCAAACCTAACGTATTATATGGTCCTGATCAGGGAGCATTCCGGTATGTCCTATTTAGGAATCCCTGATGCTGGCCTGATCAGAGACAACTCAGGCATACCTTAATAAGATATGCCCGACTTGCGCCTGCTCAGGGAATGCGCAGGCACGCCCTACTAAGGTACGCTTGACTTGTGCCCTACTAAGGAATGTCTGAATTTCGCCTTATTAAGGAAAGTCCGACTTGCATCTGATCAGGGAACGCGCAGGCACGCCCTACTAAGGAATACCTGACTTGTGCCCTACTAAGGAATGCCTGAATTTCACTTAGTATGGAAAGCTCGATTTGTGCCTGAGCAGGGAATGCGCATCACGCAAGCCCTACTAAAGAATGCCAGATTTGCGCCAGATCAGGCTAGATTAAGACTTTATGTGCTTATGATTCATTTGTATTACTCTTTTTTAATAAAATTAAATTAATCAATAAATTGTCTTATTAATTACATTTTTTTCTTTGTGTGATACAAATATGTTACATGCAAAGATAAAAATATTTAATTAAAACATAACCGAAAAACTTACCAAGTGATACGATTCAAGTCAAAATAATGCGCTCGATGTTGTGTAGAATAAATATATGTATATACAAATACATATTTATATATTTGTTTTACAAGTGTACATTTTTTTTACACTTGATTGTTTGAATTAAAATTTCAATTTGTAAATTTATATAGGATATGATATACTTATTGCATCACATATACAAAAATATCTATTTTCCTTTCCCAACTAATTTATTTTTTTTTTCAATAAATTGCGAAAAAAAATTCGGTGGCCGAATTGGAAAGGCGATCGCATAGAAAGCGAAAGAATCCAGGTTCGATTCCTGGCTGAGATGTTTTTTTGCAATATTTCTAAATTAGTTGGGAAAGGAAAAAATTAATATTTTCATATATGTGATGCAAGTATATATAGCATTCTATATAAATTTATAAATTTCTACACTTCTACACTTCTTTTAAAAAGAAATATAAAAATATATATTAATATATATAGGATGTCCGATAATTGGTGTAACATCTCTCGTAGGCAGGTAGAAGGAGTAAAACTGAGTCGAAAAGTTCTGAATCATTTTTTTCTGTTACATATAATAAAGGAGTAATTATTGAGTAAATCAGGCCAATCAGCGCCGATCTTTAGCCAGGCGCACGTCAGTGAGTCGCGCACCTAGTGTGCGTGAGCGCTCCGCGTAAAGGTCGGCGCTGATTGGCCTACGACCGGCCCAGTGGTCTCGCGGCCTGAGTGCAGGGACTGTGAACCCGGAGGTCCCGAGTTCGAATCCGCTCACCACCTGAGGATTTTTTCCGGGCCGGTCCCTTTCAACCAAGTTTATTGGTTGATCGGCGAACTTAATCGGACCTCCAATAATTAATTCGGGTGTATTCCCGAATTAATTCCCCTCCCACAAGGCGATCTCAGTCTTAACATCTAGAGCACGAGCCCGACACAGATGGGCACGCCCACTGTGAGAAGACGGCCGTGTATCGCGTGGTTGTAGTTCCCACTGCACATCCCCCCCCCCTCATATTCGTTCAGAGGAAAATAACCAAAGACTGGCCATGCCTAAAACCCTTATAGGGGGCGAGTGCCATAATGACGAAGAAGAACGTAACTAGTAATAATAATAAATCGGAGACTGGCGTATGCTCCTTTTTCACCGGGGCAAGAGCCATTACAGCAAAGAAGAAGAAGAAGCTGATTGGCCTGATTTATTCATCATCACGGAAGCACTATTCATTTGTTAATTTCTTATTTTGTTCCGCTAAAAACAACGTTTGTTCTCGAACAAAACGAGCAAAACATTTTCAGTCAAGTTTGACTTTCTTCTTGAGAAGATATATATAAGGTTATATACTTTATTAGTGATGGAAAGCAGAAAAAGAAAACAAGAACTGATACGGCGAAGAGTAGATAGACATCGTAAAGTTCGCCGCCAAATTGATGATGAAAAATCTCTTGATACTGCAGGTATGCAATAAAAATGTAATTTTATTCTATTTAAAGTTATTTAAAATCGCGTAAATAAAAATCAGAATTCTTCTATTAATATTCTTTATACAGGGTGTCTCATAACGAACGAATCAGCCGAAGTGTGTAGGTAGATCGGGTCAATCCGAACAGAAAAGTTATTTACCATTTTGCAAAATGTGCAATAGTTATTAAGATATGAATTAATAAATGTGAGCCAATGAGCGCGCGGGGGGCAATGATCGGACTCTAGGGGTACCCCTCGCTCGCCGCTGTTCGCGGCGTACCGCCTAATATCGCCCGATCGCAAGAAGCTGAGTCGCGCCGCGCTTGTTTGTTTCTCCGCCTCTCATTGCTATGACATTGCATGAAAGAAGCCATTTTTCTTTACAGCTGATAATCGTGCACGCCTATAGAGTCCGATCATTGCCCCCCGCGCGCTCATTGGCTCACATTTATTAATTCATATCTTAATAACTATTGCACATTTTGCAAAATGGTAAATAACTTTTCTGTTCGGATTGACCCGATCTACCTACACACTTCGGCTGATTCGTTCGTTATGAGACACCCTGTATACATATATGTATATACATGTATAGATAGATAGATATCATATATCGTCACTCCCTACGTATAATTACATAAGTGTCACATATGGGATTTTCAGTTTATTGCATAATGACACTTAGAAAGTCATGTTCTTTATGGTCACCAAATATTTAAAAAAAATATTCATAAATAAGGTACAAATTTAAAACCGAAAGATCCCTAACTATAGGGAAACATATGAAGCTTTATACTTTTAAACTGCTCTTCTCTAAAATTTGCGTTTTGGAGTTACGGGATTATACGTAGGGAGTGACGATATGTAACGCTACTATGGCTGCGTTCGTTTTTTACTAGCAGTACTGAAAATCTACAGATTCATGTCACGTATAGATTTTTCAGTACTGCCAGTAACAACCGAAGGAAATAACAGGGCCTATATTGATAGCAAAGATGAAACGCCGCCGGAAACATTACGGGACAGATGATATGTATACGAATTCGCATAAGACTTCACAATTCATTCACTTTGACGCAAATACGCATGAGTGTGTTGAGCCAGCTTAATCTAGTAAAATCGTGTACGCATTCATGAAATTTACGTGTAGAATAAAAAGACACATTTGTCAATTTTTCTATTATTTATATATTTTTTCTTATTATAATATTAATTTAGTAAATTTTAATATTAAATCCAAACTTTTTATATTAACCTCTATTGCCTGTCAGTGCGTATGCGCATACGTTCAAAGTATACCTTTTTACATCTACATATACATATATATCGCATTTTCTATCTCGCTTTTTCAGCATTGGAAAGGTACATGATTAGCAATATAGTAGTATTACATATATGATAGATATATTGTTTAGCAAGTTTTAATTATATATTTCTGTTTGAGATTGAAAACCAATTATTTATACGGCAAACACTCATTTATACACAGAGAGAAAGGTTTCTTTAAATTTAATAATCCGATTTGTTTGACTCATATTTGTTGCAATCATTTGGTTTAATTAAGCATTATTTAATAAAACAACATTTTTTAAATATAATAGTATAAGTGTAGGTTAAATATTTCATTTAACTTTAACAAAATACTTTGTTAAAAAAACAAACAATCAACAAACATTTGGATTGTTTGACTTTCAAACAAAATATTTTATTAAGTTAAATAAACTATTGTTAAGTTACGTAATCTACACTATTATATTTAAGAAATTTGTTTTCTTAGATAATATGTTTAATGAAACCAAATAAAATATTATTTCATTGAAATAAATTATTTTAAAAATTTATTTATTTATTTGGTGAGTCACTTTTTGCGTATTACAATTGAATTTATATATGTATATGGTGTACCCGAAAGAACGCCTACTAAGCACATAGCGTTATTCCTTATTAAAAACTGTCGAATCAAAAAGTACTCAACCAGTTTTTTATTACATATAATAAAAGAATAATTATTGAGTAGATCAGGCCACTCAGCGTCAACCTTTAGCCGGGCGCACGTCAGTGAGCCGCGCAAAGCGCTCACGCACACTAGGCGCATGATTCACTGCACCCAGCTAAAGGTCGGCGCTGATTGGCCTGATTTACTCATTAATTACTCTTTTATTACATGTAATAGAACAAACTAGTTTAAAACTTTTCGACTCAGTTTTTAATAAAGAATAACGCTATGTAATTAGTGAGCATCTTTTAGTTACACCCTGTATATTTATATTGTGAGAAATTTTTTTTTACAATATACATATATACAATATATATTTTAATCAAAATAAATTTATGTACAATGTTAACTTAACTTTTGTAAATTCATAAATAATAAATGAATAAATAAGTCTTAAGGAGCCGTTTTGCAGGATGTTGTGCGGAAAATATGTCTTATATGTGTGTACACATTATAAGTAAATTCATTTATAAGTAAATTCACGTTTTCACGTGTGTTTTTCGAATCGAAATTTTAATTCTTAAATTCATATAGGATGCTAGTTTTGCATTTCTCGTCTATATGATAAACCCCGAATACCCTTCCTAATTAATTTAAAATATTGCAAAAAAAACTACTCAGCCAGGAGTCGAACCTGGAATTTCCGGCTTTCCGGGCACTTGGAGTTTGTCTCGCAATACTTCGTACATCTATTAAGATGTTGACTGATACTGTATTAACCGCTTATTTCGACAGCGTAGATTTAGTAGTATTGCGAGACAAACTCCAAGTGCTTCGGTAGCCTAACAGGGAAGGCGACGGCCCAGAAAGCCGGAGATTCCAGGTTCGACTCCTGGCTGAGGAGTTTTTTTCGCAATATTTTAAATTAGAGAGTGCATTCGGGGTCTATCATATATGAGATGCAAAACTAGCATCCTATATGAATTTAAGAATTGAAATTGCATTTCGAAAAACACGTAAAAACGTGAATTTACTTATATATGTGTACACACATATAAGACATATTTTCCGCACAACATCCTGCGAAACGGCTCCTTAAGACTTATTTATTCATTTATTAAGTTTGATAAACTTCATGAGCCAGAGGAAGATTCTCAGTTTAATATTCATAAATAATGTCTAAATAATTTTTATTACTTACTAATGAATTTTCCCTATAACTGGATTTTCACTAACACTAAAAATGTTTTTTTTTAAATGATACAATCAAAGTAAAATTAATTACGTAAAATTAAATAAATAAATAAAAATTAAATAAATAATTAAATAAATTAATTAAATAAATAAAATTAAATAAAAATGTACAATCAAAGTAAAATTAATTACGTAAAATTAAGTAAATAAATAAAAATTAAATAAATAATTAAATAAATTAATTAAATAAATACAATTAAATAAAAATAAATAAATTTTAATTATTTTTAATAAATAATTCATCAATTTTTTACTGCACATAAATATATTACAAAAACTTACGATAAAGCGATAAAAAAGTTAAAAATTTTGGAAACAAAAAGTCACGTTTTTTCGACCGATTGCGACAAACACGCTAAAGAGAGAGCAATGCAAATAAAAAAACATTACGAAGTTAAAAAAATAATAGAAAATCCTTTAAAAATTCAAGAACTCTTAACTGTTCCCGACCTTGAAAATAGTCCTGAAGAATCTGTGGAAAGATACAGTGACTGTAAAACAAAATAATAATAATTGCAATTCGCATTCAGTTATTGATGTTGGAAAATAGTTTTTATATATTTTTGTAAATTGCAGCATCTAGTTCTTCATCGCATTCATCACACAAAATGAGCAGACAACGTAATAAAACACGCCAAAAAACATTAGAAAAGAATAATAATAAATTTACAGTAAATAAAAGATGTAAATACTTCTTGAGTATATAATTTTATTAATGTATGTACAATTTTTATTGCAGATATTAACATTAATTAAATGTTTATTGTTTTAGATATACCTCGCAAAAATAAACTTTTAAATTCCCCAAAACAACAACAGATTGCTTCGTCGGAATGTGAGGAAATTTTAAAAAATAAAACGAGCACATCTGAAGAAACCTGCCAAAATGACACTAATCTCTCAACAACACAAAGTAAGCATAAATACTTTTTCTGGCTATATACATTTCTCAATTCTATTTATATAATTTTTTTATTGCAGATGATATTAATTAAATGTTTGTTTTTTTAGATATACTTAGTGAAAATAAAAATTCTACATATTCTTCAGCTTTAAATTTATTTTTATCAGTGACGACAAAAATACATTCACAACTAAACAAGGCTTTGTTACCAAATCAATTTGATGAAGACGGTAAAAAACATTATTTAAAAATTAAAATAGACTAAGTAAAAATGCTATGCGTCCTGGTAGAAATTGCAGTTAGAAAATGCTCATTTCATGAAGTCATTTCTTGACAATAAAAAATATTTTCTCGAATATCAAAATAAATGATTTTATTTAAAATAGTCAAATTTTAGCCATTATTTAAATTTTTTAAATGGATTCAGTGATTAATCAATAGTAAAAGCTTTTAAATGGCCATTTTTTAACTATTAATTAGCTTGTTTCATTTGCTTTTTTTTCTTTTTTTGTTTTTTTGCTTGTTTTGTATACACTTGGGTTATTTTTATAATATTCTTTTGCACAGAAGAACCCACTAAAATTTCAATGACGCATCCTTTAATTTTACAGTATCAAAATCAAGTCCCAAAATATTATTTGAATGTAAAACTGAATTAACAGATGGTTCAAGATCTTTTGTACATTCAAATATGCAAATTCACCTGATGAATCATGTGCATCTATCATTTTTTCAATTTTGTATTGAGCAGCTCTAGTTTTCAAAAGAGTTGTTGAGCTTTATTTAAATTTTTTAAATGGATTCAGTGATTAATCAATAGTAAAAGCTTTTAAATAGCCATTTTTTAACTATTGATTATCTTGTTTCATTTGCTTTTTTTCTTTTTCTTGTTTTTTTTTTTTTTTTTTTTTTCTTTTTAGCTTGTTTTGTATACACTTGGATTATTTTTATAATATTCTTTGCACAGAAGAACCCACTAGGATTTCAATGACGCATTCTTTATTTTTACAGCATCAAAATTAAGTTCCAAAATATTATTTGAATGTGAAACAGAATTAACACATGGTTTATTTTTGAAAAATAAAATTTTAAAAACAGCAATTTTTTTACTGTTTAGTTCCCTTAAATGTTTCTATTTTTATTGTTTTTATTTTGAATGTAGATGTAAAAGAAACAATAATAAAGGCTTATCAAAGCCAAAGTTTACAATTGACACAAATACATAGTAAACTATTAGAAATAAAAAAGTTGCTAAAAGACTTGTTAAAAATAACACAGAGGGATGAGCAAGCCACAATGTCAATTCCACGAAAACAGAAACTGGAAATTGAACTTATGAAAAATATGAAAGAGTTTGTTATAATAGAAGGAAAACTGAATAATGATCGAACCTTTCGCGAAGAGCTGGTACATTTATATTAAACATTAATAAATTTGTCATATTTATAGTAATATATCTGCTCTAAAAATGATGTGACTGTTTTCCTTATGATTTTTTATATTTATATGATCATATAAAATCAGATCGCGCCAAATTTTAGATCTGATTTTACACGATCACATAAACTCATATCCATCTTATATAAAATCATATTCGACCTTTATAAAAGTTTATATGTGATCGTACACAAAATTATATCCGATCCACGTATAATTCTATATGATCACATGATTTTTTATTTTTTCTCGGGTCTACACATAAAAGCATAAATACGAAACTACCCGAAAAAAATGAAAAATCATGTGATCATATAGGATTATATGTGAATCGGATATAATTCTGTATGATCATATAAACTTTTATACTAGTCAAATATGAGTTTATATAAGTTAAATATGATTTTAATGTCAGAGATACTGATGTATTATAAGGTATAATTCGATAAACGTCGAACCATCAAATGTAATTTTCGCACGTCATTATTATATTCGAGAACTTAACCGTCATAACGGAACATAAGGCAGAAAATTAAAAGTTGTAGACTGAAGATAAGTTTGTAGAGTAACTATTTTCAAATCACTCACAAATTGAGAGAAATATAGTGCTTAATACATAAACTTACTACTTTACTGCCATAAATCCTAAATAAAATTTACATTACAAACTTACTTTTACTTTGCAAACTCTGACTTGAATTGTTACCTTCACAAAAATATCTTGCAACATCTTTTTTAATTTCTAGAAGAATCAAACAACTGTTCAAATATAGACGCAATGAAAGTTGAAATTTACTATTTTAATAGTGCTTACAATACTGTAAAACAATTCTGGCAGATTACGGTGCAACGCAAAATCTTAAACCAACTCTAGGATAACAAAGTCGTGCGACAAAAACGTACCGACAAAAAAACTACCAGGTTTGCGTAAATCATTTTTCATACATTAAAATAGTTTAGTATATGCATATAACCATACACTGTGGTAGTCATAATAAACCAAAAAAATAAAAACTGCAACACACGGCATGAATAAAATTTAGAGTATGTTTTTTTTTCTAAGTAACAACACAAATGATTCTACTATAATAAAGCTAATAATAATAACGCTACCATAATAAATTTAAGCATTATATTTCTAAGCGACAGAACAAAAAGCGAAAAAACTGTTCTATCATCTATATGTATATAATTTCACGCAGATTTACTTTAAAATATTAAGTAGAAGCTGAGTAATTGTCGCAAAATTACAAACAATTTTAGTTTACAAACATTTTTATTATAAATAAAACTTTTGAAATACATATCTTTTTGTAGTACGAACATAATAAATTGTAACTAGCTTATAATTTACCGTATTCTAAATAAATAAAAAAATATTACTATTGAGTAACATTTGTTATAAGTGACCCGTAATGATTAGTAAACCTTGGAGGGAATAAAAGAGGGCAAAAGTTTAAACCAAAAGATTTTTTTCACTTTTGGCTCAGACCATTATTTAAAGAAATTTTTGCTTCCAAGTTTCACTCTCTTTCACTCCTTTCAAGATTTACTAATCATTACGGGACACCCTGTATAAAACTGTTTAATATAGATTTTTCTTTTTCTTACATTTTATAATTTAATGCCTATTACATATTGTTTTTTCATATAGCGTATGCTTTGTATTTTCATTTATGCACAATTGGTTACTTAAATGTATACATAGTAACAGTCGTGTACAATACAATACAGTACATTATTATTATTTTATCTTATTAAAGACTCGCCTTTATTTTATGATTACTTAGCGAATTATTAAATGTATTAAAATCCGTATTATAAACCTATACTTTCGATTTTATACATAATTAATAACTATAATTAATACTTGTTGGTGAGAATAAAAAATATGATCAGAACACAAATATGATCATAAAACCCTAAACCTGTAATCATAAAATAAGTTAAGGCTACTTATACAAAAGTAATTCCACTATTAAATGCAATACATGAATAATATTTTCTATTTAAATTAATTAGAATTAAATAGAAAAAATTACACTTATACGAAAAAACTCTTAAAGACCGTAACATATATATTAGGGTTATTTAGTAATTTAGTAAATAATGAGGTACATCGCGAATGTTCCTTTTCATGTCATTTACAAACATACGACGATTCTCAACTTTTTTCATAATGACGTCAAGTATAACTTTTGCCTAGAAGAAATTACAAAATATATTTACTATACCATCTTGTATTATATACCTTTGCATAAGTTTAAGATCGCTATAGAATATATTTTTGTAAACCACCGAAAGTAAAGCCAAAACAACATCAGTTTAAAAAATATAACTAAAATTTTGATTAAAACAAATAAAAACTAATGCAAAACTACAAGAAAAATATTCACAGAAATTCTCTTTCTATATTTATAGAAAAAACTTTTACCTTCTCTATATTATATATGTCGATCAGTTTTCCATAAAGTGAGACTACAGTCTTACGAATCTAAAAACACCGTGTAATAATAATGAATGTAATATTACTTGTAAAAAACACTTATTATTATGCATGATATTAGTTTATTATGCTAAACAAAGACTATATACAAAGTGTCCGTAAAATTTTGACCACGCCGAAGTATGAAGATAGATTGAGTCAAACTGAATAAAAAAGTTATTTGCCATTTTGCAAAATTTGCAATAGTTACTGAGATATAAAGTAATAAATGTGTGCCAATGAGCGCGTGAAAAGCGTTGGTTCTGACTGTGTAAACGTGTGTGATTTAGTTCTTATCCTTATCCCTCGAGCGCTGTCAGCTGATCGCTCCTTGCGCCAAATATCGGCTGACCGCGAAATCAGCCGAGTCACTCGCCGCGCTCGTTTGTTCACTTCGCCTCTCGTTGCTCTGACAGTCACACACCTACGCCAGAGTCAGGACCATCGCTTCTCACGCGCTCATTGGCACACATTTACTACTTTTGTATCTCATTAACTATTGCGAATTTTCCAAAATGGCAAATAACTTTTCTATTCAGTTTGACTCAATTTATCTCTATACTTCGGCTGTGTCAAAATTTTACGGACACCTTGTATATTACTAATAAAACTGTAATACATGCATGCATATTAATACATATTCATAAAAAAAGATAAGTTTCACATTTATAGTTACATTAAACGATTAAGTTTACACAATGTACCTTTTCAAAACCTTCTTCTAAATATATGTGATTAATACTAAAATTCACAACAGCAAGTAGACTCATGTATCTTGCAAATAAAACATACATACCAAATAATTAATACAAAAACTTTCATAGTATATACAATATACTTTTATACGACATGCTAAACGCAATGTATAAATTGAATAAACTTAATATAAATATATATAGACTATGTAAAATATATGTACATAAAATATAAATTATATGTACTGATAATGTGTATAAAGTATAAAGATAAACAAATGTATAGAAAAATTTGTTTACCTTGGTGAATATTTATGTTCTATTTCGTTTATTATAATATTCAGTGAAGAAACATTTTGTATATGTCTTGCAACAATATCAAAAAGAATGGTAACAGAATCACTTTTTGTTACATACTTATATGTCGCAGAACGCAAAGATTCCAAACTATAATTCAATCCAAAGTTGAAACAAGGAAGAAGTTGAAAAAAGTGTTCTAATTTCTCTTGTAACAAGTAATTATTATGTATTTTATGCCACAACATAAAATTAGTTACAATTTTTAACTTCAATCCTTGGCAATATATCCATCTCTGCCAACTTGGCAACAATCTGTAAGTATTTACAAAAATATATAACTTTACTTACATAATTATCACTCGAGCGTTTTACTTTTAGTATGATATTGTAATGATGTATTACCACTAATGTCACAGTTGCAATTACGTTTCTAATCATAGAAGCAAAACGTCTTTTGACGTCACATTCAAACAACTGTATATATAACTGTATGTAATTGTAAAGTACAAATTTTTATATTTTATGAATTATAAATCAACTTTTATTTAAAACCTAAATCACTCTTAGTTTTTAGTGTCCGTACAATATCATATTACTGTATCAAGATTCAGGTAACAGTTCTGTAACATTATCATACAATACATCAAAAACAAAGTCACATTATACAGACGTCACTTCGCTTTTAGAGACATAAAAAAACATACCTGTGTTGTATACGATGTTCAAAATGCCATCTTAATATAGCATTAATATGTTCTTTGCACTTTAAGCCACCAAGAATGCATGTCCATTTTAAAACTTCGTGATATACTTGATTACTGACAGTATTCTCGGAAACATATTTATGTGATATATCTTCCAGAAAACTATTTAATATTTCTAGGACTTTACTCTGTAAAAAAAGTTCAAGGTGTATTAATGTATTTTGATAATTCCGTAACTTGTAAATGTACTCAAAAGATGTTTATTTAAAAATCACTGCATATTATGTATTTTGTAAGTTAATTAATAGTGTTTTTTCTGTTGTCAGATGACGAAAGATAACTGCAGAAAGAAACGTACCGTACACAGTGTATATTATAAAACTATATATCTCAACGAGATTATTTTTTATTTAGTTGGTCTTTTAGATTATTCACTTTTGTTCTTTCTTAGTGCACTGTGGTAATATTTACCTTAATAGTTGCACTTTCTGGATACGGAAAAATCTTAGATATATAATGAAGAACAGTAAGTACAGGATACCAAGTTATGTATGTCTTTCGTATGTAAACTATATTGCTTGCAAGATTGAAAAAAATGTCTAAGTTCTTCCTTTTTGCAGCATATACGTTATACTTTGTATTTTGTATTAAAAAATAAAAAGCATCGTCGAGAATTTGTGCTAAAGTGACGTCAGATAATTTATATGCATCCGAANTCTTAGATTTTTCACTTTTCAAAAAAAGAGCAATATTTTCCCAAGATTTGCGATCATAATTGACGCGATATCCTACAACAATTAAATTATAAATAAATATTTATATAAGATAAACAAATACATCGAAAACGAAAACAATAGAGAAAATTAGGTAAACTAAAAAACTTAGTGAAAACAGTAAATATACTATTTACAGAATACATAGAATATAACAAAGTTTTTTTTATTGTATTACCATTGTGCGCCGTAATTATGATAACATCATTTTCTTTAATATACGGGACAAAGATATTTATTCCGTTTGGTTGTATATATTTATAATGCTTAGTAGTAGACACATTATTTGATATTGTTACATAGGTTACAGGTATCCACCATTTATATGCACACAGATCCTTTTGTTTAACTGCAACACAATCTTGAACTATAATTTTTAGAGATTGTGTATCATTGTCCCGGTTTACTTGTACCAGGGGATACCCAGTTTGTGTTATCCATGTAGTTATCACATCTTTTATATCTTTATTCTTTAATTGGATGTTTTCATTTATGGTCGGCACAAACATTAAATTGCTCCATACATTCTCGAGAATAGACTGGACATTATATGTTTCACTTGATGTACTACTATAAGTGACAACAGATAGCAAAACAAAAAATATATCGGTTTTCCTTGTCTTAAACGTAATAAATATTTGAAGATTTGTATACCTTACGTACAAAATCATTCTTAAACCCACACTTTCTCCCTTTAATCAGTGCTTTATATAAATTTATAATACTTACATGTTATATACTTTTATTGCGTTCTCAAAAATAAAGTTGTATAGTACATCTTGATTACGGAATAAGCTATTAATCATATAGAAAATATTGAATGCTAAAACATAATTCCGAATGTGTGAACGTTATTCAATTATGATCAAAAGACTTTGTAAATAATTGTTGATAAATGCATACAATGAAAACTGGATGACTCTAATTTATAATTTTATGATATATTCGCAAACATTATAATGTATATTTTTATTTTTCGTATATCTATGAGATATATAAACGTAGGTTTTATATTGTTATTCAAATTTTTAAGCACAGAATTAAAAGTTGTAAATACCGTTTTTCCTTACTTTTTTCTCTCCACATTTTACTAAAAGTTACGTTGTAAAAAAGTCGATTTTTTTGTAGTGGTAAATCATATTCAATAAAAGCTTGTGTATATTCAAAATCTTGGCGTCGTGTCTGGACCACAATCGACTTAAGTAAAGTGTCATTGTAAATCTACCAACAGTTTGTATTACACAAATGTTTATTTTTACTTAAAGTACTATAGGTTTATTTGATAGTATTCGACGACGTTCATAGCGAAATATATAGTAAAAACAAGTAATTAGATAACTTTCTAGAGACACGAGTTTTGTTTAACAAGCATATTACTTTTAAAAATTATTTAAAATCATCAAAACTAAACATCAAAACTAAATGCAAAAAATAAAACATAAATATTACTGTAGCGTGTAGAAATAGAAGGGTTATCATTACGTAAAATTTGGACAGACTTAACAATCAAAAAATGTAAACCAATTGAGACAATTGACTTTTATACACAAAAAGTGAAATATAGCGTGAGATCCCAACCGACGCATTACAGCGCTATTGGGGATCACTGGTGATCCTTAGTAAAATAAATGCATAAATCATGATAATCTAGTTTACCTTATAATATTGTAAATAATATTTTACAATCATATGCATTGCATAGCAAAACCTTTATTTTGGCGTCGCGGGCAAGTCATAAAACGTCTGACATTGAACGTGTTAATATAAAATTTATATGATGTATAATATTTTTCGAAAAAATAAAAATAGAAAATTAAAAAAGCTTACCTTTAGATAGTAAACATTACTTTAATATATATAAATTTTACTGCACAATACAGGTTATTTAAAACCGCAACTAACGTACAAATGCAAGTAATACCTGATCAATTAGATAAACTCCGTAAAATGTTGAAAATCCCTCGATAAACCAAGGATCAGATTGCTTAAATCTAACTAACCAATTACTGAACATTTCTTGTATCACACTGCGTACAACCAAACATGTTACTTCTGTTTTTCTTATAATTGAATCTACTTCTCTATTGTAGTAAACGATGTCAGCCTCTCTAAACATTTACATGTTTTTAATGGAATATTGTTATTGTAGACATGTGTAAATTTGTTCACAAACTCATTTTTGGGTATTGAGATATGTATCTTACTTAAATAGAACAAGTCCAGTAGTTACTACAGTTTCATAATAGCTAGAGTTCACTGGAAGTACTACGTACTGCACATATGGTGTTTCTATGATATCTTTCCATTTGTTTCTGATAAAATTCGTAATGTCATTAATTCGAGATCGTGCATATGTAGTGTCATTTATTACTTGTAATCTGCTTTTTACAGAAATTGTCTTTAACAATACAATGACACTTTCATAAGGTAGAATTGCTGTTGCTACCAATTGAGTGGACATTGCAGGTGTAATAGGAAATGAAGTGTAGTATGAAGTATAGAACTTATTTCTTTCAAAAATTCGATCACCAGGCATATGTGAGAGAACTGTTTCATCAATGTAGTCATGGTTAATTCGAATAGTAAAAGTGGCCTTAGTTGCAAAATTTTCCCAACATGGAAATATCCATTCAGCGGGAATACGCGGTAATATCAAATATCTATATAATGTAAAAAAAATGTAAACGTTGTTGTTTTTAGAAATTTGTTAATTCACAACTTTACAACTCCTATTGCAACAAAATAAAAAAAGAAATACTTATTTCATTAGTATTTACTGTACTTACTTTTTTATTTTACTTTTATCAATAAATGGATAAATCGTCATAACTTTATCTAAACTGCATTTATATTGTGCAGATATCCACAGTTCACGTTCTACATTTACTCTTCGTTGTTGTATTCTAAAGTATTCGCTATTATTAATGAAGCTGATTTTCAAGCTTTTGAATTGATCTTCCAAAAAAAATGGCAACACTTTTGTTTCCCAAAATAAAGATGGAAAATTAGAAGAAACATTAGTCATGATTTTAAGTTTTGGTTGTTCGCAGTAACGTCCGAAATAAACTTTTATGTTTTGCAGTGGACACTGAACGTTCAGTTTAACAAGAGAATCAACAATCAGAAAATTTTTTTGTACTTTTGCAGAAATATTTATAATATATTCCATCGGTTCTATGCAGTGCGGAGAAACATTGTCATCAGCAGAAAAAGTAATTCCGTTGACACATAAGAGGCATATAGTTCCGAGAACTGTAAGCATCTGTGTAGTTAGTATCTATAAAATAATTTTGTACAATTATCTTATAAAGTTATTTGAATCAAGAAATACACATGTTATTAAAATCACAACTACAACACAAAAAGTATTATATAAAAAAGAATTACTGGTTGCTGTTTTAAATACATAAATATCAAACATGATTGTATGTAATTGTGTATCTTTCTTTTTGCGTATGTTTTTTAATATCAATTTTTAGAGTTCATAAAATATTACTTAACCATAAAGGAGTGTGTTTATCAAAAGATATTCTACAGCGTCTTTATTTCTACCACACACACGAAATTATTTATTATTGTTGTATGTTTTATCTGACATACATAATTAAAAACAAGAGTATAGATTGTGTTTTCGACAATTTCGATATTCACCTACTAAAATCAATTTCGAGAGAACTGTTTAATTTTTTTGTGCATTTTAAATGAGATAAGTTGAATATTACGACACTAAAGAAAAATTATTACTACATTGTATATACCAATATATACCAATTCTTATATGCTAAAAATTGAACTAAATTACAATTTTTCCTATATGCTAAAGATTTCTATATGCTAAAGAGATTTAAATTTGAAGTTTTTAATTCAAAATTTTTTAATTATATTCTTAGTTTAAATTTACGTTAACTATATAGATAAACTAAAGATTTCGAAGTCTGTAGTCTATCGGTGATGGTCGGTGAAAGAAAGCTTTCATTCGTTTGTTTTCGCATACTCATGTTTGTGTTGTTTGTGTGACTTTTCTTGACATGGCTGTTGACATGTAATCAGTGTCTTTTGAGATTGTAATGTATCTTACATTTCTATAATTGTTATCATATTTTTTGTGATTTCTTCTATCTTTATTTTGTAAAGTTGGCTTTGCTTCATTTTGTTTGGTTTACTATTTTTAATATATTTGTATGCGTATTTTTCTCATGTTTCTTTTAAACGTTTGTAGATTTAGACAAAGTAAACTTATATATTTTTTACTTTGCACATTATAGAATTGGCTGATGATGATTGCAAAAATAAAATTGATCAAAAAGTTCATATCGTTACTTTATAAACACAAATTTTTTTTTTACCTAGAGGAGACCGGGGCACAAAGTAACATCCAAA